GGTAAAAGCGTGGCGCCCCCCGACGAACATCACGGAACTGCAGAGTTTTGTAGGTTTTGTTAATTACGTTCGACGGTTCGTGCCCAACATGGCACGTTTAACAGCCCCACTCACTGATTTACTGCGTAAGGGGGTCGCTTTTACGTGGGGGGAGAAAGAGCATGCTGCCTTCTCTGCCCTGAAAAACGTTCTCTGTTCACCACCCGTTCTACGCATCGCTGATCCCCACCGCCCTTTCGAAGTGGTTACCGACGCAAGTGACATCGCCATCGGAGCTGTACTGTTACAGGACTTTGGCGACGGCCTCCAACCCATCGCCTACGAATCACACAAACTACATCCGCCTGAGCGAAATTACCCGATACACGACCGCGAAATGCTCGCGATCGTGCACGCATTCAAAGTGTGGCGCTGCTACTTGACCGGCGCAGACGTGACAGTACGGACAGACCATCGATCTCTACAGTACCTCCGCGCACAGCCCCACCTCAACCCATGACAGATTCGATGGCTCGATTTCCTCGGGTCGAATTTTCACTATACGGTCACATACAAAAAAGGAGCCTCGAATATCGCCGACGCACTGACCCGCCCCACTGCCCAGATCCACGCGATACTACTCGCCTAGACCAGCCCGCTACTGACAGGCCTATTTACCCACGGATATCAAACAGACCCGTTCTTTACAGGAGGCAACTCACAGCAATTCGCAGCGGCAAAAGGAGTCTATTACGTAAAAGCTGGAACCGACCGCATCTGGGTACCAGGATACACGCTACTGCGGGAACTACTGTTACAGGAAGCACACGACGGAGTTACCTCGGGACATTTCGGGGTAGAAAAAACACGGCAGCAGCTGCAGCGGTACTACTACTGGCCAGAAATGTTGACCGATATGCAACGACACGTGGCATCGTGCCCCACTGGCCAGCTCATGAAGTCAAGCAGGAAGCGGCCGGCGGGACAATTACAACCCATCCCGCCCCCAGAGCGTGCTTGGCAGCAGGTGACGATGGATTTCGTCACGGGGTTACCAGCTGGGGCGAGTGGGAATGACGCGATCCTGGTCGTCGTCGATCGACTAACGAAGATGGCTCATTTCGCAGCATGCAGGAAATCAATCACAGCCGAGGAAACCGCCCGACTCTTCATCACCACCGTCGTTCTACTGCACGGGATACCCGCATCGATCATCAGCGACAGGGACACGAAATTTACAAGCAACTTCTGGCGGAACCTGTGGCAGCAGTTCGGCACGCGCTTACAGTTCAGTTCATCCTATCACCCCGAAACCGACGGACAGACGGAACGGACAAATCAGACCATGGAGCAGCTGATTCGAGCCACGTGCGACGATCCGAATACGTGGGAACAGCAGCTGCTACTCATCGAGTTCGCATACAATAACGCACCATCAGCCACGACGCAACAGTCGCCGTTTTACTTGAATTACGGACAGGACCCAACAGTACCCATGACACCGAATCCCGACAACCCCGTCCCACGAGCACAACAGTTCGCCGAGATTCTGCAAGCAGTACTGACCAGGGCAGCAGAAGCAATCAAAAAATCAAACATCATTGCTAAACGCAACGCCGATCGCCATCGGTGACCCGTTACTTATCAGCCCGACGACCTCGTTTTACTCGACACTCAGAACCTCCGCCTACCCATCACTCCAAAACTCCGCCCTCGATACTGTGGGCCATTTCGAATCAGTCACATGGTTACGCCAGTCACCGCGCACCTCCTCCTGCCTGCTGACTGGTACGTCAGCCCCTCGTTCCACGTCAGCATACTTCGCCCTTACGTGCCATCCACCAGCCAACTCCCACGACATCGACCCACCAGCATGACACGACCACCAACCGAACCAGTCATCACCCCCGACAAGATCCTGAGCCACAGAGTTCGCGACCCTCGAGGAGCCCGAAAAGTGGAGTTTCTGATCCGCTGGAAAGATCGTACCCCCACCGAGGACAATTGGGCTCCCGTGGAGAACGTTGAAAATCACCCCGTCGTCACCGACTACCTGCATAGCCGCAATTTCCGAGACATCCACGCGCTTTCATAAGGAGGACCTCCTTAGGAGGGGGGGTAGTGTAAGGAAATTCCCTTTTCCTTACTTCGCGTCCCTGCTCAACGCGTACATCACTGTAGCACCTCAGTCAGCACCGTTACCACTTGCGACTATCGCATCATTCATCATCCCGCCCTTTTCGCACATCGCATCCCGACCTCACGGCTCGGCTGGTACCCCGCGCTCCGGACCTACGCTTCGACACTTTCCCAACCTCAGTCCCAGGCTCGTCGCGCGACCATTACCGTTACCACTGTAGTTTCGCTATAGAATGTTCGCTCATGCCTTCGCTCATTTGTATTCTTGCTTCGATAGTGCAATTCTCGTTCGTTCACTCAATTGCACTCGTAACAATATGCAATGTGTAATATTTTGCTGTTCGTGTGCTAGTACGTTCTGCGGATTGAGCAAAAGCGACATTCTGTTCGTTCATGAACAGATGACAGAGCAATCTCCGATCAGGTGGTGCCGCGATGCCAGTTGAGACCAGCCACAAATTGCTATCACCACAACAACAGAGGGATTGGCATGAAAGTGGTTGGTGTGGTCGCCACAATGACGTTGAAGGGACGGTGCCGATGACAAGCTAGACACTGGGCGGTGTGGATTCGCATAATTGACCTGCCCCACCCTGACTTCCTGAGACAGCTGTCTACGTGGCACTTTCTGCATGGAATTGGACGCACCGCCCCTGCTGGGCTCATGGAGGCGGAAGAACCGTGGTTGAACGAAGTTCATGGCAGTGAGAATTGGGTTTTGAGTTGAGCACGCACAATTACTGATCATATTTGCTCCCCACGCAGCTACAAGCGCACAGTTACTGCCCAGTTTGAGCTCACAACGGAGAATTAGCTCCTCTCAACGCAGTTTTGCTTTCATTGGTCGTAGGATTGACGGGCCGATAACTCTTCTTTGGTTGGCGGCCACAGAACCGTCAAACGAAAGCATTTCGGGCACAAAACAAATAAAACCCTATCGGGTGGCATGTTTTTCGAGGGAGACATCAACCCTAAACACCGGGAGACAAGGTGTTTAGGATTGATGCCCTTCCCAACGAGTATATTTTTTTCGATGGCTTGTCTCGATGGAGCATCAACCCTAAACACCATTAGGAAGGTGTTTAGGGTCGATACCTTTTTACAGGGGTATATATAATGTTTAGCACTAGAAACAGAAAAAAGTAGTTACTGTTTTCTGTGACAGTTTCCACAGGTTCGGTTTGTAGTTATGTGCCATGTGTGGACCAATGAAATCAAAAATGTGTTGAAAGGAGCTAGATATGCGCTGTGAGCAAAAATAGAGCAGTAACAGTGCGCCAGAAGCGCTGTAGTTACGCTTGGAGCAAAGAAGTTCAGTAACAGTGCGTGCTCAACTCAAAACCCGTGAGAATTTCGCTCTGCGTTCGCCCCGTCCGGCTGGTTTGGAATCTGCGAGATGCGCGTGATGCGAAGCGCATATTCTCATATTTTCGCGGAAGTACACATGCTTAGCGAAGACACACACACAGCCCCGCCACGCCACTAGGCAAGAACATGCACGCGAAATCGGGTGGAGCTGTGTATTGATCGAGAATCGACCTGCGAAACTCGAGGCTTGATCCAAGGGCTTAAAAAGAGCCACGATTTTCTTGCGACGTTGTTAACCATACCACTACCGCGTGGTTTGTATGCATCCGAACCACCTAGCCCCTGTTTTGACGGAACCCCAGCCTCGATCTCCGTCACTTGTTTTGATCACGGCCTTTAAACGAATCATCGTTTGCCACCTAATCTAATGTCGAGCGCTCACCCCAGGTTCCATCGTCCCGTCATCCACTTCCCACCTTCCTCCTCCCAGCCGCACAACGACCAGCACCCGCATCTTTGGTTTCTCCCCGACATCCCCGACCGCTTTCCCTGCACCACCTCCGCAAACCGACCTGCTTTCCCCTTTCTGCTTCCGCCGCCCGAGGTCAGTGTGCGACTCTGCGCCCTCGCTCCCGCCCACCCCCCTCCCTCGCTGCGCCATCCGCCATACCTGAACCGCCAGCCACTAGTGTCGATTTGCCCGCGCCACTCCACTCCAATCCCTATTCTGCACTAGCTGCGCTGTCTACTAATTACCAATCCAGCTTCGAAAGTAGTATCTGCTTTGGTTGACGAGGCTTTGCAAGTCCGCTAATTGTTCCGCTTCTGGGAGACCGTTACGTTCAAGCTTCCTTGCGTCGCCAGTCAATCTCCTGGTTCACTCAACTCACACTGGTCAACGGTGACTCAGCCCGCTCACCTGTTTTGCAGCTGTTGGAGTGAGACTCCAGCCTCAAGTGCTTGTGCTGAGCCGATTCCAGTCACCAGGTGGAGCTGAACGCTCTGATCTGTTCAGTCACATTCCGATTCTGTGGCTGGTGCACTCGCTTCAGTCATAATCCTTCCCTTTTACTCGAGTAACCAGACATCGCTCGCGTGGCCGCGATTCTCGACGCTGTGAATAGCATTCCCTGTAATCCCCACGCGATCGCACTGGCCAGTCCCTCGGGGTCTGGTCCGTGCCAACACATTGGCCACCACGGCGTTTACGGCGGGTAACGCGGGAATCCGATACGCACACACGTTCCAGCTGGAGACCGCGGGAAAGCTGTGCCTGGGTGCCGTTTCCGCGCACGGTGGTAGGGGAGCTCTTCCGTCTGAGGGGGGAAGTCCCTCGGACCTCCTTTTCCTTGCAGGAGGAGGTAGCGTCACTCCCGTGTTCGTCGCAGACTGAACCGCGGCTGTAGTTAATAATTTTGCTCGAGTCGCTATTTAGCCTGCTTAGGGTGCCCTGAGGTACAATTTAGAAAGGGAACCTGTTAAGAACCCGGATTTTCTGCGGGAAGAGAGGATCAGACGCTTTTTGAAGAGGCTTAAGTTTCTCGGAGAATCTCCGACGCTCTTTCTTCGTCACGATGTTGACGATTAAGAAGGTTCCGACAGTGGTCTCTCTGAACCAGGAGGAGGACCAGCCCGCGGGTTGCGGTCGCCGCTGTCTGAATACCTGCTGCACTATTGGTACGTCCCACCTCCCGATCCCACCTCCCGATCCCACCTCCCGATCCCGCCTTTCGATCCCACCTTCAGACCCACGTCCAAACCACCCCCTGCTGTCTTTTGAGTATGGTTTGCTGGTTCAATCACACACTCGGTTTCCGGACCACTTTGGACCACGCGTGTGACTCCTATACTTTGAACTGAACTCATTCTCAATTCGCTAACCTTATAATGCCACTTCAACATTCTTGCATCCTTCCTTCTATATCGTCAACTTCAGGTGCCCGCATGCCTCTGTACGCTTACGCGAAGCGTCCCTGCACCAAGCCGGAGCGCATTCAGTCCTTTACGGAGCTGGACGGAGTTTCAGGCTTTCAGCCCGGGTTTCTCGGGAACACCACGAGCTTCGCGTCGTACGACGACCTGCTGTCGATCCGCGAGTCGCTGTCGTCGTCCGACGAGGACTCGCTGTCGTCAGGCGGCGCGAGCGACATCCACGACGACGACGCCTTCTCGCTGCGCAAGCACATCACCTCCGAGGTACGGCGCTCATCGTACTTGGTTGTCACTAATGCAAAGTTCAATTTCTTTGTTATTTTTAGTTAGCTTGTTGCTGGATGGGAATTTGGCGCACTATGCGAGTGTTCTTTTCTGACCTAACTCTGTTTTTCCGCCCCCCCTTCCCCTCTATCCCCGTCCCTGTTCTTCTGTTTTTCCACCCCTCGCCCCGTTCTTTCCCCTTCCCTTATATTCTGCCGTTTCCAGTGGGAGAAGAAGTTTCAGGAGGGGCTGTTCCGCTATGACGTGACAGCTTGCGAGTCAAAGGTACGTCTTATAAAGTAAGCAGATCAGATAATTTTATCTAAATATGCACACTGTGGTGTGGTGGGAAACATGAAATGAAAGTGCAAGGGCCGTTTGTCAATTTAGCAAGGGCTATTTATCACTCGCAGCACAGTATTGAAAATGCGGTAATTTCTCGTACATTGTGTAGGTTATCAAAGGTCGCCTGGGCTTCATCACGCAGCTGAACGAGGGGCGGCACTCCAAGAAGCGTCCCCCAGAGTTTCGCGTGGACAAGGTGCTGCAGGCGTTTGACGCTTCCCTAATTCCCCCTTCTCCCCTTTCCTGTCCCGTTTTGTGCATGTTGCAGGTGATCGAAGGTCGCCTGGGCTTCATTGCGCAGCTGAACGAGGGGAGGCACTCCAAGAAGCGTCCCACAGAGTTCCGCGTGGACAAGGTGCTGCAGGCATTTGACGCTGGCAAGTTCAATTTCACCAAGGTTGGGCAGAACGAGATGCTCTTCCGCTTTGAGGAAGGCAAGGACGAGGAGAGCCGCTTCTATGAGGCAGCTGTTGTGGAGGAGAGCCCCAGCCTCATGGTCATCAATGTAAGCTAAGCTTGCACTATAACCCATGCAAACTTCTTTTCAGGGTTTCCTCTCCCGGATTGTAAGGTTTGTTGAGTTCAGATCCATGGGTCCCGAGTAGGTAGCCTCTCAGTTGAAGTTATGGACTTTTTACCAGTGACTTGCTCCTTTGTGCTCTCTCTTGCTTCCCCCATTGACTATGGCAATGTGCTTCTGGTTACACTTGTGCTTCACAAAACCCCCCAGCCTCCTCATATCTCGGTAGAGTTGATTATCCTAACCTTTGCTCACTCCATTTTGCTCTTTTCTCTTCTCCCACCCTCAGGTTTCTCCCATTGACTATGGCCACGTGCTGCTGGTTCCGCGTGTGCTCGACAAGATCTCGCAGCGCATGGACGAATCCAGCCTCCTCATGGCTCTCCGCCTTGCCTCGGAAGTCAACGACCCTGCCTTCAGGATTGGGTACAACAGCCTCGGCGCCTTTGCAACAATCAACCACCTGCACTTCCAGGCCTACTTTCTCGACCTACCCTTTGCTATCGAGCGCGCATCTTTGAAGGAGATCGCGGTCTCGACGAATGAGGTTAAGGTTGGGGAGCTTGTGGACTATCCTGTGAAAACGCTGGTGTTCCAGGCGGGTGCGTGCCTCGAGCAGATGGCATCGGCTGCTGCAGCTGCATGCTGCAAGCTCCAGGAAGGGAATATTCCCTTCAACTTGTTTATTGTGGACAGGGGCACTCGGCTGTTCCTCATTCCACAGGTACATTCCTCGATTTCTCCTCCTTGGTCTATGTGCTGTTTTCAATCATTGCCTCCTGTGCCTTGCTCCAACCTGAAATGGTGTCACTTTGTCAAGGTTTGGGCTTAGGTGTTTCTTTCAGATCTTTCACTGGTTGTTTAAACCTGACTTGATCCCTCTGTTGATTCTTCTTCTCCCTTCCCTATTGCAGAGGTATGCTGAGAGGCAGGCAAGGGGTGAGGTTAGCCAAGAGCTTCTTGACACGCAAGTGAACCCTGCAGTGTTTGAAATTTCTGGTCATATTGTGTGCAAGCGCCGGGAGGATTACGACAATGCCTCTGAGGAATGGACCTGGAAGCTTCTGGAAGCAACGTCCCTCACTGAGGAGGGGTTTGAAGTCGTCAGGAAGATTTCTGTGGAAGCGCTGGCAGCGACTGCTGCTGAGTTTGCTGAGATTGGGATGGGTGGTGTGGTTGGGAAGGGAAAGGTGGAGTTAGTGAGTGAGACTGGTGCTTGGGTTGATTTTGCGGCTAAGGGTGGTGTGGATCAGCAAGCTTTTCAGCTTGCATAGGCTGTGTTGCTTACTTTCATGTACAATGACATCCTGTTTACCTTATTTGTTTTGACCATTTATAACTTGACAGCTTGTGTGCACTTGTATTGTACCGATGCCCATGAACAAAGCGGGGGTCTCTCAGCTGGGAGATCATTAGCGGAGAAGCTTTTTTCGAAGTTACCTAAACTCCTGATTTGACGCGTCATCAGAACATTTCGAATATCCCTCCAATCACTTGGGCCACATAGACTGAGCATTGCAAAATGACCTATCAACAACCGCCTGTCTACATGCTCCGTTTCTTCAGCAACGTAGAATTGATACTTCAGTACTTGGTTGGGACCGTGCCACTTTGCTTAGGAAATATTTTGAACCGTGAAGTACCGTTTTCAGCTCCAGGGGACATCAGACATGTTCTCAACCCGAGATGCCCCAAACTCCAGATGAGATGTCTAGGCCAGGAATGCGATCTGAGCCTTCGAGGGAACCTGAAAAATGAGACTCAACCAGACACCTTTCAGCTGTTGGTAATTCCGTCCGTTGTCAGCCTGGATTTGTTGTGATAACTATCCTTCAGTTCAGCATTCATGTTCAAAATCCAGATCTTGCTCCATTACGAATGATAATGTACTAGGTGGTTCATGCCTCTGTGTGTGCGAGCTTTCTATTGTGCTTCCGTTCTCTCGGGTAGCAGGCACATCAATCCAGGTCTTGCTCTAGTTAACTCTGGATTCACCGGTTACTTTTCAAGGAGACTCAGTCAGCCTCATCGATTAAGTATCTCCGCATTGTTGGGTAGCAAGTTCTGTGCCAGAAGGACGCCTGCCGTACGTATCGTTTCGACCAGTGTCAGGCCCGTACAGTCCGTACGGTATAGAATGGCGGTGTGTCAGGACCCCGTACATATGCAAGTCGATGTCGATTTCCGTCCTGCTGACGTCATTGAGATCGCAGAAGCGGCGGGACGCGCTATCCTGGAAGTTTACAACAGCCACAAAGAGTGAGTGGGGAAGCAATAGTTGCTGGTCTACCGGATTTGCGGAACCACTGAATGGAAACGAGCGAGAAACAGCAGAGGCGCGAAGCAGAACTGGAAGGACAGGCGACAAGGCCGTGAACGGCGAGCTATTTAAATAACATTGTTGACGGGGAGCAGAAGTCGATAAGTAGAAGGAGATGTAGCGTTGCTGCATCCCTTCATTCTCGCCTTTCCCCCTCTTCCAGCAGACCAACTTGCGACCCTTCCCATGTTTCTCATCATCCTTCCCCCCCCCCCCCCCCCGTGCTTCCCCTGATCGTTGTGATCCTCTGCCTGTGTGTACCAGCGACTGGGGAGTGAGCGTGAAGTCGGACCACTCTCCGCTGACTGACGCTGACTCGAAGGCCAACGCGTTAATATGCAGCGAGCTAGCGCGGATCACGCCGCATGTGCCGATCGTCAGTGAAGAGACGAAGCTGGTGCCGTACTCCGTGAGGAAGGAGTACCAGCTGTGGTGGTGTGTGGATCCGTTAGACGGCACGAAGGAGTTTATCAAACGGAATGGACAGGTGAGCGTGTAACGCGGATGGAGACGAATTTGGTGCCGTACTCCGTCAGGAAGGAGTACCAGCTGTGGTGGTGCGTGGATCCGTTAGACGGCACGAAGGAATTCATCAAGCGGAATGGACAGGTGAGCTAGTAACGCGGACAAAGACCGAGCTGGTGTTTTATCCTGTGAGGAAAGAGTACCCGCTGTGGTGGTGCGTCCGAGTCGTTAAATGGCACGAAAGGATTTATTACGAGTAAAGGGGATATGTTGATGGATTCAACATACGGATTCAGTTCAGGAGGCACATGTGGATTCAGACTGAACTGATTGAATGGTGATTGTTTGAGCAATGGGATGGTGTGCATTTCAGAACTAACATTCTTCGTCCCTATCACACCTCCTACATGTGCAACGTATTTAACCTTCTCTTTTCTTTTTTTGTTAAAACATGAAACCGGTGATTATTGCCCTAGTCACATAGAGCCACTCGATCAGAGAGCAATTCTCTCTGCATCAGCTGAAGTGTGCTCCAGCAGTGCTGCACTTCCAGTATGAGTGAACAAGACCTTCCAGCAGACCCTTGGAATACCACTGATCTGTCTTCCAGGTCCTGAAATTCCAAGCCTCTGGTCACATTTCTAAATTCTCGTTCCCCATTTTCCCCTCCCTATCCCTTCCGTTTCCCCCTCCTTTTCCCATTTTCTCTCCCTCTTTCCCAATGTGCAACGCAGTTCACAGTGAACATTGCTCTGGTGAAAGGCGATCGTCCCATTCTAGGGGTGGTCCACACGCCCTGCCTTAAGAAGACGCACTGGGCCGTTGCTGGTAAAGGAGCTTTCCTGCGGGACCATTCTAGCCAATCAGATTCATCGTCTCTGCCCGAGGATAAGCCGATCCGGGCAGCTGAATATACAGATGCCGACCCGGGGCTGGTGATCATGGGGTCGCTGTCTCACAGCACACCCGAGACAGAGAAATTTATTGGGCAGTTTAAGGACCCGAAAGTGGAGGCTATGGGCAGCTCGTTGAAATTTATGAGGGTTGCAGAGGGGTCAGCTCATGTGTACCCAAGACTGGCTCCCACTTCAGAATGGGACACCTGTGCTTCTCAGGTACCACTCTCCCTTCTCCTCCCCACATCTTCTCAATTGATGCTTCCTGTATTTGTTTTTACTGTTTGTGAGGTTGGGAGCAGTGTCTTGCTATGAGTGTCTCTCCCTGAGTATCAGTTCAGTGATGTTTACCCTTCACCTTACCTATGTTTTTTCCTCTATTCATTTTGACCACCTCAGATCATAGTGGAAGAGGCTGGAGGAAAGGTGTTGCAATGGCCTTCAAAGGAGCCTGTAGTGTACAGAAAGGAGAACATTCTGAACCCTCACTTCGTAGTTTTTGGTGCTCGAAAAGAGGCTCAGTAAGGATGTGGTTGTACGAAGGTCGGCGTTTTAAGGGTCTATCATGGATGGAAAGAGTGTTGATACCTTTGTTGCATCACTTTGAGTTCAAGTATACTTGCGCATTCAAAATGCTTGGGGGAGTTTTCAACTCTACTAGCCTACCATCCTGCAGCTTCACACGAATCACTCAAGTACAAGTATCGGTTTTGAAACTGGTTTATCTAGGGTATATCTTAACAGGAGTGTCTAAAATAGAATGTGTTGTTGTTGGAAACAGTGATTTAAGCGCATCTGTCGTGTCGAAACTGTCAGAATTATTTTCTTATACCTGCATGCAGGGGTTTTTTTTTCGTTTTAGAGTACACTGGTTTCCAGAGGCGTTTTTCTCTTTACTCTGAAATCCAGAGTGTTTGGCGAGCCTTCCTCTTAAATGTCAGTGTAACACAGGCTGTCAGTTTAAAAACCCTGGCACCTCAGAGTAATTTTTATCGTTAAACCTGTTGTGTGTACGCGTTGGTTCTTGTGCTGTTACATAGTTAGAAATGTTGAACATATATAATTCCTAAACACGTTGTACACAATGTCCTATCCTATCCCACTACTACAGGCTCACTCATCCTCTGCCACGTCAGCCTCCTCCTTGTCGTCCGCACTGGCCTCAGGCTTGTTCTTGTCAGCCGCTGGTTGGAAGGGTGCAGGGGATTTTGTCGGCCGCCTCTTCTTGTGCTTGCGCCAGATGTCCACGACATCTGGCCACTCCACGTTGTAGTCGAGCATGTGGATGCTCATGAGTTCAGTGAGCCGCGTGTCGTTGAGAGTCGTGCGCTGCCAGCTCTTGATGATGTTCTTGCGTGAAAATCCACGCTCGCATTCGACGGTGCTGAGTGGCAGGACGGCCAACGCCTGCCACAGGGGTCATGATGTTGGGGTAAGTTCGCAGCCAATCGCGTGACCTCAGCATGTTCGTCAGCGCCTGGTAGAAGTCCTCGTCCTCGTGGTGCGTCCTCATGATGTGGCAGAAAGTTTTCAGTTCTAGTTCGGCTGCCCGCAGGTTGAACCCTGCCAACACAGTACGAACAGCACAGGGATTTAATTGTACGGGAACTTTCGGTATACAATTATATAAGGCATTTTTTCAAGAAAAGCAAACAAACGCGAACGAAATTAGATTTCCAAATACCTAGCAGCTGGTGGTTGAAGAGTTGTGAGTTCTCACGCAGCCATGTGGCACAACGTCTCACACGCGTGTCCGGATTCGATGGCCACTTGTCCACCCTAAACAGCTTCATGCCGCCCATTCGACGAAGATCTCGCATGCGGTGCTTCAGGTTGTACACGACCTCACGGGCGAACGCCTTGCCCATCTTTACGCAATCTGCCAGGGTCCCGCCGAACTTGTGCTTTTTGTCCGGCAACTCGCTGAGCTCGAAGGTGTGCCTGACGTGTCTGCCGCTAGAGTCCACACCGTCCACCTTCACCTTCTTGTCCCCTTTCTTGACACGTGCAATGAATGGAGACAAGCGGGTGCTCAGACCCGCCCCGAAACCACCCTTGTAGTCGATGTAGCGGTGCTCGATAAGGCACACCACACGGTCGACCTCCTCTGTGACTTGCGTCACCTCCACCTGCCGGACAGGCACGGGGTAAAAATTTGTTGGCGAGTAGGGGGTGGTGGGTGTGTGGTCTCCCCTGCTCCTCCTCCTCCTCTGTCTCCCACTGCTGCAGGGGGGTGGGTGTGTGGGAGTCGACGGGGATAAGGGGGAACGTGGGGGTTCGGGGGTACATGTATCCCCCGTACAGAGTAATCTCACTATCCGGGAAAGAAACACTGGCGCTCCAGAGTGAACTTAGACAAAAACCCTGCCTGATCAGAGAACAAGTACCTCTCAAAAAAATTACCCAGGAGGTACAGAGTGACCCCCCAAAAAATCACTCTGATTTTCAGAGAAACAGAGTAAATTACACTGATAAAAAAACCCCTGCCTGCATGTAGTTCTAGTTGTAGTGTAGATATGAACTTTATAGGTGGTGCACCTCTTTCTTCACTTGTTTGCTATATGTACCCTCTTGCTATAGTGAACACCATTCCCATTCTCGACTTTCTCTCTTGCCACAAATTACCTCGTCCCCCATGGCCTAGGCTGCTAAGCCCAGGCCCTAAACCTGACTACCACTTGTGCTAGTATCTCAACATGGCATTAGAGCCTGTTATATCCTGGCCTGTGGGCCTGCCTCAAGCTTCCGCTGCTGTTTTTCCGGTCGCGCGCCGCGGGCGCGTGGCGAATTTCCTTCTGTCCCATGCCCGGGTGGCGCGTGACGTTTTATCTGCTCGTCGCGGACCCACCCTTGGCGCCCGCGACGGTGCCCTGAGTCGCCGCAGACCCGCCCCTGGCGCCCGCGACGGTGCCCTGAGCCGCCGCGGACCCGCCCCTGGCGCCCGCAACGGTGCCCTGAGCCGCCGCGGACCCGCCTCTGGCGCCCGCGACGGTGCCCTGAGCCACCGCGGACCCGCCCCTGGCGCTCGCAACGGTGCCCTGAGCCGCCGCGGACCAGCCCCTGGCGCCCGCGACGGTGCCCTGAGCCGCCGCGAACCCGCCCCTAGCGCCCGCGACGGTGCCCTGAGCCGCCGCGGACCCGCCCATGGCGCCCGCGATGGTGCCCTAAGCCGCCGCAGACCCGCCCCTGGCACCCGCGACGGTACCCTGAGCCACTGCGGACCCGCCCCTGGCGCCCGCGATGGTCAGGGCTCTCGCTAGGTTTTGGGGCTGTTTGACAGGACCTTGAAAAAATTTTCCCCCGTCTTACGCTCGAACGACGAAATTTGCATGGTCTGCATTATAAGCTGGAATAGTTTTTCTAGTCTGATAAATAAGACGGAAAAAAATTCTTGTTAAAAGTCAACCTATTGTAATCCTACCAGCATGTCTACACATAGTACCTAACAACCTAGCTGCAGTAGCAAAGGACTTAGTCAGAGTCACTAGAGCCGTACACTTCATTGCTATCAGTATCATCCTCGCTAACCACTGACTCTGGGACAGTGGCCCTTTCTTTCCTACTAAGCCACGGGTACTCAGCATCCGTCCTTGCTGCTTCTGCTGCTAGGGCCGCTTCTCGAGCAGCCGCTTCCGCTGCTGCCAGTGCTGCTGCTACTGCTGCAGCTGCGGCCGGTCTTTTCTTCGCACGCTTGCTCGGTCTCTCCCCGGACGCCATCAGCACATCATTCGCAGGCCTGCGCTTCTTGGAAGCATTCCACCTCCTCAGTAACTCGGGCCACTCCATGTCGTAGTTAAGGACCAAGACGGCTATCAGCTCTCCTAGCTTCACGTCGCACAGGTTCCCGCGAAGCCAGCTTACACTTGACGGTACTGAGCGGAAGTGCGGCGACGGCCATCCACAGGTGGACGAGGTTTAGGTAGCATGTTGCCCAGCCGGGGGAGGACAGCATGAGCTTCAGGCCGTCCGCAAACCCAACATCCTCTTGGTGTGAGGCCATGATTGTAGAAAAGGTGAAGATCTCCCTCTGCGCTCTTGCCCAGTTGATGCCTGCGGTTGGGGTGCGCATGGGGACAGTGAGACAGGAGATCATAAAGGGTTGAAACATGCAGCTGAAAGAGAATTCTGAAGACTATAGCAGCACATTCCCGGCATTTGACGCACCTGGTAGAGTATCAGGGTCTTCTGGCTTCTTCTTGAACATGTTGCGCAGAGACTGGAGCCATTGGCCTAGCCTTCACTCATGCTTTGCCTGGTTCTTGGGATTCGATCACTTCTTGAACAGCTTCGCCCCGTCGAGGTGTGAGATCCTTGAGGCGGTAGTCGAGCCGACCAACCAAGGTCGTGATGAACTCGCGCGCCAGCCCCAAACACGCTTGGTGGTCCACACCACTTTTCTGCCCCTTGATTTTCTCCTCGTGCAGTCGGTATCGATGGCTGACCGATGTGCCGTCGGAAGCTGTGCCAGCAACGAGGACCTCACGGAACTCCCCTGATGCGTGCTTGTCGAGGAACGGGCCCAACGCGTCTCCACCCTGGCCAAAATTCGCGTCGTCGTAGTCGTAGTAATGTGTGCGCAGCAGTAAGGTGGTGTTGTGCACCATCGGCAGCACATGGGTTGCGTCGACCTGTAAATGGGGTTGCAACAGCAGGATGTTATTAAAAGTATAGTAAAACAACAAACAGTAAGTCAAGTGCTCACCTGGCGCCGCTGAAAATTCAAGCTGAGAAGGTTGAGCTCCTTCAGGACATCAGCAAGGAAGAACAGCAGGAAATGGAATTTGTAGCTCGTTACGACTTGATACATCTTCTTGTTTGTCTCGTGCAAGACCATCACTGCTGCAAGAAACACCTTCACCAGGCGCTGGATGGCGTCACCACGAGACAACCATCGGACGTCCTTGATGCCTTGGACTTCGAGGTGGGTCTCGCAAATGACCTCCTGAAGCTCTTGAAAGCGGGCGTGATTAACAGAAGAGCGACCAAGGTTCTCTGCTACGGCACGGACCACCTTGTCCACGATGTTGAAGTCCGGATACGCGGTGGTAGCATCCTTGGCCGCCAAGGCCTCCCTGCAAGACAACGGAACGTAACATTAGCACGGGTATTTTTTTAAAAAAGTATGGAAAACACGAAGCAACAAACTTACCGGTGCGCGATGCAGTGGAACGACACAAGATGAGGAACCTTGACTTTGAGGCGCGCTGTGACTCCGTTGTGCTGTCCAAGCATGACAGAAGCACCATCAGTGCTCATACC